CTCATATTCTTTATTTTTTTGAAATATTCACTGAAAAACATAATAAATAACAAAAAAAAAATATTTTATGACATCTTTAAGAACACCTTTCAAGTAGAAAGAAGAGGGAAATTTTGCAACATAATCCATGGATTGAAGAAATTACTTGATTTATGAAATTTTAATGAAAAATGCTTTTACAATATTGGCAACAGAATCCCAGCAACCACACACACTTCACATTTCAAGCAACCACAAGACTTCATAAGAATGACAAAATGCAATACTGATATTTTCCATGATACTGAATAAACCAATATGCAGGCCTATATCAATTCTAACATAATAAAATGCAGCTGAACTACCCCATCAGCAATAGTTGGTTACTCAATTCACTTCAGAAAAAACAGATATGAACCCCATCGCACCAAAATTTAACGATCCACACAACCTGAAACGAGTATCTAAAAGTTTCGATTACGCAAAGTTCACTACTCAAAGAAAGTCAACCCAAAACGAACTAATTAACAGCAAAAGCCATCAGAATTTTTTTTCCCTTTTTTCCCAATCAAAAGTTTTTTAATTCCAGCACCATAATTAAGCCTCGACAGCAGCAGCAGCAGCAGCAGGTTCTTCATCAGTCGCATCAGATTCATTCGCAGCAGCAGCCTCGACAGAATCAGTAACAGATTCATTCTCAGTTTCAGGGTCGGTATCTACAAGCTTCTCTCTGAGCTTATTCATGAGCGCGTTGCTTGCGCTCTCATTCTCTGTCAGGTATCTCTTCAGAGCATCCTTGCCTTGAAAAGTTTGTTCCCCCAAATAAAGAAATGCACCGGCCTTTCTGATGAATTTGTGTTTGATTCCCAAGTCTATGAGCTCGGCCTCCCGACAAATGCCACGACCAAACTCTAGCTCGAATTCGGCAGTTCTGAATGGAGGGGCGTGCTTGTTCTTTACTATCTTTGCGATTACTTGGCTTCCTATTGTCTGTGTGACAAACAGATTAAAAGGAATTTGCATTCAGCTGATTGAAGTTGAAATAAGCTTTAGAAAATTTACAGGGTCTATGAAATTCAACAATCTGGAAAGAGAGGATTTTTTTTTTTGAAATTAAATTGTTAAATGCGTGCGTTTGTTTTGACAAAAATTATAAAAAAGAGGGAGGGCTTTCATAAAATGGTTTAAAGGACGTTCGGTTGTCAAAGACCATTGAAATCTCTTTTCCTTTAGTTCTTTCGTGAAACCTGAGTTGATTCATTCATTCTAAGTTGAATTGATGATTCTGATGGTTAAGGCTAGTATAATCCAAATATATAAAGAATCTAATATTTTGTGCTCATTGTAAATCCCACAATGCATATTCACCAGACTTCCTACCCACACAATAATTGTTAGCCTCAATATGTTTTTCCTTTTATTTTTATTTATTTATTTATTTATTGGAGAAGAATAACAAACATCTGGAATAATTTCAATAAAAGGAGTTGTTTCGTATTGGCACAAACTAATAAAAAGATTGTTCAGGTGCAATTGAAATACTTCTCATAAAGAACAATTCAGACACGAGCTTCCACATAATCCAAAGAAATACGAGAGCAAGATTCATACCTCTTCCCCCTTCTTGACTAACCCTGTTCTCCTAACATTAAGACGTACTGAAGCATAGAATTTCAAGGCATTTCCACCACAAGTAACTTCAGAGGGGCCGCCAAATCCAAAAGTGGATAGTTTTGCCCGCACCTACAATTAGACGTAGCTCGTTAGTGAATAATACAAAGAAATAGTTCCGCATGTAATAGGCAGGCCCTAAGTTCTGTATTCGAGTTATCAGGTATTCAGCCATATCAATGTCAACCACATTATTACCTGCAGCAATCAGAAAAAGGGAGTTCTGTGTAACTAAATTAGATATTCTCCAGGCATTATTTTAAAATGAGGATTTGGTTAACAGGATAATCGTTCAAACTGAGTAAATGAAAGCTTATCAGTAAAGGATTTCGAGCTATTCCCCTCCCATTCATACAGATTGACAATGCGTCTACTTGCAATAGAAGTCAACTAAGTTGACTCTGGTGTATTTCCAGATTTCTTCAAAAAAATATATTTGCCAATAGTCCAATACGAAATATATAATCATGGCGTAAGTTTATTTCATTTTTTTTTTCTCAACATGGAGTAAGTTCAACATATAAGGTTATACTTAAATGCATATTTATCCGGAAAGGCTTATAAGAATTAGTCCTACCATTAAATGGACAGACTTTCATTTACCAATTGCACTTCATAAATAATTGAGAGGGAGACAGAAGTGAAACACCGACGAAATTGAATCATAATAGGGCTTGTACATAAAGACCTCTAAATATTACGATTCAGACAGAAATTGATAAATCCAAAGCAGACACATATCATGTGGAAACGTGTAGACGCGAAAAGATTTAAAAACGATAAATGCAATAGAAATATTTAGCCCATGCCTGATTTGTAAAAATCAATATTGTCTGTGAGAGAGATAACGAGTGGCTCAATTTGCGAAGTGCTTGACTCATAAGCCTTGCTTGCATTGCCATGTGTGCATCTCCCATTTCGCCATCAAGTTCACCTTTAGGAACCAAAGCAGCCACCTACCAGAAAAATCCAAAAAAAAAAAAAAGCAAATAAGACAATGATGTCTGTTTACTAGGTTCGGTAGCATGCAAAAGCATATAATCTTTACTTACACTATCAACAACAACGACATCTACTGAACCACTCCTGATTAGGGTATCCACTAGACTGAGAGCTTGCTCACCACAATCTGGTTGTGAGAGAAGCAAATTTTGGGTGTTTACTCCAATGGCCTCAGCTAATGATGGATCTAGAGCATGCTCAGCATCTACAAAGACACAGTAGCCTGTATAGGACAAAAGAAATGATAAGCACAAATTATTTTATACGCGATAAAACTCATTGCAAGTTTTGAAAAATATATACTTATCTGCAACTAAAGCTATTATTTTAGGGCATGTTTAACAAGAGATTTTGGTTAGGTTTATAAACCTCACTTTTAGAGGTTTAATTACTAAAAGGAGGAGGTTTAAGGTTTACATTCTTAAACCTTACATAAACCTCAATAAAAAAATATTAAAAGTACAAAAAGTGAAATTATAATGTAAAAATATTAATAAAAATATAAGAGTATAATATCAATTGGGAAACATGTGGGACCATAAAAAGGAGGTTTATGGGTTTTATTGTTATTGAAGGTTTATGTGTGTAGGAGTAAGAATGTGGTTTTGGATGATGTGGCATGTTGGGAAGTGTAAAAGTAGGTTTATGGGGAGTTATTGTTAAAGATGCTCTTAAAAGAAGATTCTCATTCACTACAAACACAATTTTACAAGTAGGATCAGCATATCAACAAGATGAAACAGATGAAATTTCTTATAAAGTGAATGACGACACTCAAAAATCATTAACTCACTGATAATAATTTACAAGGATCAACACACCATACATACTATGCTCCTCAAAATTAGAATTATCGAAATTTTGAGGGATGAAAGTAAAAGGAACAAGCCTCTAACTGGAGTAAAAATGGTTGTGATGACTAACCTCCTTGTTTTTGAGCTTCAGCAATCACGTGCAACGCAAGAGTTGTTTTTCCAGAAGCTTCTGGACCATAAATCTCCACAACACGTCCCTGATAGAAGTCTAAAATGCTTCAACTCCAAATAAATAGATATACCAGAAACACTATCAAACAATGTAATTCCTAATTTCTAACACCTGTGCGTTGCCGTCTATGTTTAAACTAACATATATTTACATGCAATTTTAGAGGATAAGCTAATGCACAAATGTCAACCAGCAAGTTCAAGAATAGTAATTGTAAATAAAGGACATCATCTAGTGACTGCCAAAATGGAAGCATGATGATTGACTATAAATTAGTAGAGATCTAGGCTAATATTATTGGACCGATCCCCAAATTTTAAGACTTGCCAGAAACATTTTTCAAGCTTAAAAAACATTTACTCATGCTGAGTCCATTAGACCAATCACCAACTGCCCAGATATTTTTGCAGTTTCACATCACAACAAGATATATAATCCTGTCACCTCTTAAACAATTAAACTACACAAAACATGTCTCATCAACAGACAGAAAATTGCACCATTGCATTAAAAAAAATAATAAAACAATTCAGATAACACTGTCGAATAACCTTCGGAAGTCCCCCTACTCCTAAAGCAACATCCAGAGCAAATGATCCAGTAGACACCACTGGAGTGTTCTTAAATGAAACTGTGCGGCCAAGCCACATAATGGACCCTTTCCCAAACGATGCAGTGATCTGATCCAAAGCTTGTTTCAGTGCTAAATCTTTCTTTGACAAATTTTCATCAGCAGAATCACTTGCGCTTGCTTTTGTTTTCTTTTTAGCTACAGATACATGGAATTGCATGATTTAAATTTTCACAAACATATCAAACAGAAGCCATGATGATATGCTGAAACTCAATGGAAAAATAGCATTGAAGCAACAAACTAGCACTACTAAAGGAAAATTTCAGTGATGTGATGATACAAACAGGTGAATAATCCTCATTTTGAAGCCACAAATGAAAAATCATCATCAACTCATAAATATGCACAGCTCTCAAATGGTACAAATGATCGGATTACCCACATAACAAGATAATCCAATCTAAGACTAGCAATCCATCAACATAAGGACATAATTGTATGAGGTCAAGTCCATGGATTAATGGGGGAAGAATTAATCAGATTAGCAACCAGTGGGATAACTCCAACATCAAAGAAAATGTATTATATACTACAATTCTCATCTGAAAGCACAGTCCGAAAAATGTAGTAATGTACATGTGGATATATTTACTTTAACCATATCCATATGCTATCTCTTTTGCAGTTGTTCCTAAATATAAGAGCTCAATAGCTCTCTAACAAATATATGAAAAACTGATACACACACACACACACACCAAGAGAGAAACATGTGAATAATCCATGAAAAATATGCTGGCAAGCCAGTAAAGATGAGACAGAAGCCAGAAGGTAGTTTATCAAGAAACACAAGATTACCTTTTGCAGAGAAGTTGTACATCTGTGTAGATGTACCCAATAATCCTCTCCTAGGTTCCTGAAACATAAACACAATACGTATAAACAAATTAATTAGCTGGGTAACAACCATTCCCTAACACCCATCCCATTCTAGCATCATGGTTTCTTTCCTTTTCCATACCACACAAACAAAAAAAAGTTTATAAGCAGAGAAGTTTGCAAAAAATGTCACCCATCCACTCTCTTTGCAAAAATCAACTTCTGGTCGTAATACCATTTTTTTTTTTTTGTCATAACAGAAAAAAGCAGCCTTATTTCAACACACATACAGAAAAGGTCACATTTTTTTTGCAAAATTCCCTAAATGTTCCCCCGCCAATGAGTACATCCCCCTCATGTTTGAAGAAAATATCATAAGAAAAGAGAACAACAAATTAAACAACTTATCACTCCACCTTTCCAACCAAACACAAGATCTTCAAAAAGGAATAAGAATAACAATGATACGCATACTAACGGTCTACTTCCGTGCATACACTCGATGAATAAAATCTCAACCAAAGACAAAAGAAACAAAAACACCAAAAAAATCCACAGAAATAATCGCAAGAAAATACAGGGCTAAGCATCAATGGAGCAAAAACCTGCAGGTGAGGAAACAGAGAGCGTCTCAGAGAAGAAGCGTTTCGGAGAAGCCGCGCCATTTATTACTGTTCAGGAAGTGCCTAACTTCTAAGAGGTAAAAGGGTCTCTTCTTTTCAAGATTACCACAACACAAGCAAGTGTTCACCCACTCAAACAGCGGTCTTCGAAGCTATGGATATCAATGCAACATTTCTCGCACAAGGAAACGCACGAACTCGAATCAACAGTCGCAAGAAGCTTTACTCTGCTTTGAGATTCTAGTGGGATGAACAGTAGCGGAAAGGAGAAGAGTGTTGTTTTGGAAATTGGAGGAGGATTTTGTTTATTAGGGTTTATGTGTTTCCCTCCTTTTTCCAACTCTCTTTGGGGAGATGAAAGAATTGTTTATTTGTGACTTATGAAGTAGGCGCCATGATATCGTGTCTCGACTCTCTCTCGTGTAGTATATCGTGATTTTTGTCTTATTTTTTTTATTTAATTATAATAAAATAAAATAAAATTTAACTAAATATTTTATTTAGTTGTTGATGATCATCACTTCACTCCCCAAGTGAAATAAAATACATGATGAACTTCTTGGTGCATGTGTAGATACAAATTTTTCTAATAAAAAAAATCAATAATTTTTAATCAACTATTTTTTAATTTAAATTTGACACTCTAAATTAACTTTATTATCCTCAATATTATTGATATAATTATACAATATGACTCAATCTTTTTTACATATTACATCAACTTTAGTTCACTATTCATTCACTCACATAAATTTAACTAATTATCACTTCACATCATCTCTCTCCTATTTTTACATCAAATTCAACTTGAGTTATTTTATTTTAAATATTATTTTAATATAACTCAAAATCTACTAACAAACTAATTATACTATTTTTTTCAAAATTAATCATACCAAACCATATTGATTTTCAAAATCAAAACATCTTATATTCAAACACTAGTCTCTCTCATATCTCCTCATCGGGTGATTTCCTCTCACTGAAGCCTCCTGAAACCTTCCCTTCCGCCTTGACGTAGCTTCCTCACAGTCATAAGCTCTGCGCTCCCGTGGAGACGATCAGCTCTGGCACGGCTTTCTTTCCTTAGTCGTTGTTAGGTCACCTTCTCTAGCACAAATGTCGTCCTGACTTAGGTTGCTGCGATGGGTTCTCTAGGTGGATTGACGACGACAACGGCGGGGGCTGTGGGATCTGTTCGCCTCTTTTTCGGCATGCGAGGTCTTGGTCAATGCCAGTCTTTGCCCCATTTTCTCATCCATATACTGGGGCTAGGATGGGAAGACTCCTCCGGCGGGAGACCCCTTCGGCTCTGGGCTTTCTTGGGTGCTTTCGTCATGGCAATGGTGGGTTGAGGTCAGTGTGGGCTTTCGGGTGCGACTCTGAGGTTGGTCTTTTCTTTAACTGGTGGTGGATCTTTCTTTAACTGGTGGTGGATCTATATTAGCCGTCACTAGTTCTTTGTGAAGTGAGTGGCTAGATTTGCACCCTAGGCGGGGGGTCAAGCTCGGGAGGGGTCCTCTTCGACTCTCGTCTTGTGCGGTGGTGTTTTGAAGTTGCTTGTTGACTGCTGGGGAGGTCATTGTTTGTATTGCTATTTGTAAATTTCTTTTTTGTAGTGTTTTTGGTGTTTTAGTAGTGTATGCTATGTGTTTTTTCAGTCTTTATTTTTGTGTTTATTCTTATGTTAGGAGTTATATTCTTCACTAGTGGGAGTATTGTATTATTGTGAGCTCGTTGTGGTAGTTTAGGCGCTTCCTATTGGGTTGTCCTCCCACTAGATTCAGCAGTGTGGTGCCTTGGCTATTCTGTGGACAGACCTCCTAACCCTGTCGGCTGGGAGGGCAACCCTAACGAGCCACGCGAGCATCCTAGTGGGAGCCGAGTTTGTCCTCGGTCCTACAGTGTCTGAATATCCAAGTTGGTTAAGACCGGCCTCCTCAAGAGGCGTCGTCTTCGACTCTACCTTAAGTCATTTTATTGATGGCGTTCTTATTATTTTTCCTTTTGCTGCTATTGGCCTCCCCAAGCTGGGCACTTTGTAATTGTTGTTTCTATTAATGAAGTCTTTTTCTCTTGTGGGCTTGCTTTTACTTGGACTTCATAAGCTCCCAAGTTGAACGTTGTAGTATCCTTTTATTGTTTTGATTGCTTTTATACTTTTCATCGTTTGGCACCTCATGAAACAACTCGTTAACCATATGCGAGCTGAACTAGCTCCATCCGAGGTAACTTAAGAGCTTTTTCTTGAGTTGGGCTTACTTGAACATTTGATTTTGGATTACCATAGGCTCTTCGAGCTGTGAGCTCCGAGTTTTTATATATTTTACATAGGCCTCCAAGACCGGAGTTCTGCCTAACTGATTAGACGTAAGCCTTTGAGCTATAACTTGGAGTTGTGCCTAGCTGATTTTACGTAGGCCTCCGAGCTACAAACTTGTAGTTTTGCCTCAACTTGTCCCTTAGGTCTTTGATCTCATCAACCCGAAGTTCTACCCCTAAGCTTTGCACTGTTCAACACCTCGTAAGAGGTTCTACTGAACTCCTTTCGCCTTTTTGGGATCCCAATACACAAGTAATGACTTTATTGTGCAATAACTGAATATACTTTATAAGGAAATCAACTGTAACTAAAGAAAGCTTAATGATAGCTAACACAAAGTCTGGCCTTACTTAATATGAACCAAACTTAGTGATAGCTAACACAAAGCATGTATTTCATATGTATACAGAAAGCTTAACAGTCTTAGGCATAATAAATCTTGAGATTTGCCACGTTCCATAGTCTACGAAGGAGTTTTCCTTATTGATCCATCAGCTCGTAAGCTCTGCCTGGGAAGACCCGTTCAACTGTATAGGGACCTTTCCAATTAGGCTGCAACTTGCCCATGTGCTTAAGTGTATCTTCTTACAACCGCACCAAGTCACTGACCTGAAACTTGCGGGCATATACCGTCTCATCGTGGGTTGACCTCATTCTTTGCTCATAAATTTGTTATGTATCCTAGCTTGGTCACAAAGTTCGTCTACTAGGTCTAGCGTTTCCATCTATAGCTCGGCGTTCTATTTCTCACGATAAACGGACACCCTTTCTGAACTTAGACTTGTTTCAACTGGAATGACAACATCCATTCCATATACCAGACTAAATGTGGTCTCCTCCGTGCGGAAGCCCGTGGCGTTGTCCTGTAGGCGCATAGGACTCAGTTGAGACAATTGTCGACAAAAATATTATACAAGGAGACCACCGGCGCACCTAGTGGCTGACGACGGCGAGGACAATCATTTCTTCGGCGACGCTGTGTGAGCTGAGATTTTCGCAATCAAAGGAATCACAAAAATCGGTGAACAACCGTGAAATTGTTAAGAAACTAAAACTTTGCTAAAAAAATCGTCGATAATGGGATTCAATTATTGACAACCATTGCCATTATAAGCCAGTTCTTCCTCCGTCTCATGTTCCTTTCATTCTACGTGTCCTGAGGTTTTTTTGGTTGGTAGAGTGGTATGACTGTTTGTCCCATTTTTTTTGCGTTTTTCGTTGTCTTTTAGTCTTTATTTTTCCCCCCATTTTAGGTGTTTTAATTGGTTTTTAGGTCAATATGCAGTCCATTTCGTGGTTCGCTTTATTTTAGTCTTTCTTGTGTTTTTTCGGTATTTTTTCGGTCTTTCGTTGTCGTTGGTGTGCAGGTTAGACGTCCCAAGAGGACAGGATTTCTAGCGAAAGTTGGCGTGCAAGCATAATAAAATAGAGGGTTTCGTTGGCAACAAGCAGGAAAAAACGGAATCGAATTCCGAGTCCAAATTAATATAAAATAGCCCGAAAAGTGAAGACGTGCACGAAAACCACCTGCCCAGGCCCCGCGCCGCGCCACGCACGCCTCACCGCGCCGCGC